GAAGAGAGTGACATGATCTATTCAAAGAGCTGAAAGGGAATAACCTGCAACCTAGGATACTCTACTCAGCAAGATTATAATTTAGAACAGAAAGAGAGCTAAGAAATTGTTCAGACAAGCAAAACTAAGAATTCATCCAAATTAAACCTACCCTAAAAGAAAAGGGAAATCCTGTACACTATTGTTGGCAATATAAATTGATGCAGCTACTGTGGAAAATAGTATGAAAGTTCCTCAAGAAATTAAAAATAGAAATATCATATGATCCAACAATTCTACTCCTGGGTATATATCCAGAAAAAAAACCTCTAATTCAAAAAGATACATGCACCCCAATGTTCATAGCAACACTATTGGTTGGTTGGTTATTGTAAATTCTTCCAAGATATGGAAGAAGCCCAAGTGCCCATCAGCAGATGAATGGATAAAGAAGATGTGATATATATATAATATATATGCACACAATGGAATATTACCTAGCCATAAATAAATGAAATTCTGCCATTTGCAACAACTTAGATAGACTTAGAGAATATTATGCTTAGTGAAATAAGCCAGACAAAGACAAATACTGTGTGATAACACTTATATATAGAATCTAGAAAAAATGATATAAATGAATGCATATAGCAAAACACATATATAGAAAACAAACTAATGGTTGCCAGTGGAGAAAGGGAAGGAGGCAGGGGCAAGTTAGGGGCATGGAATTAAGATACAAACCACTATGTATAAAATAGATAAGTAATGAGGATTGTATAGCATAGGGAATTATACCCATTATCTTTTAATAATTTTTAATGGAGTATAATCTGCAAAAATACTGAGTAATTATGCAGTACACTTAAACTAATATAATATTGTAGATGAACTACGCTTCAAAAAATAAAGAAATTATGTATCAATAAATGTATTGTTCTTTAGCCATTTTGGGAGTCACAAATGAAATAAAGAACATGCTGTCTTGAATTTAAAATGTAATGCAGAAAAAGACAAATTGAAGAATAAGAATATAAAAACATAGTACTGAAAATCCAGTGATATGCATAAAATCAATTATGGAAATATTCATATGCAAAGAATTGCTGGAGAGAGTAATGGGAATAAAGTGTTGTTAATGTGGGCCTTTTCAGAGAAAAGGTAATTCCTGTGCAGGATTTAGGGGTGAAGTTTTCGAGATTAGCTGGGCTTTAATAACTGAAACAAGATTTATCTATTTTGCATGATTTTCATGTAAAAAAATCCAACATGCCTGATGGACAAATATCTTACAAAACTAACATATTTAAATCTGTCAGTCTCAAGAGATCAACCCATGTTCTTTTGTCTTAATGCTATGCCAAGAAATGAACTTTGAAACATGTAGATGGTAGTATTAGTGGACTGATAAAATGAGTTTAGTCAATTTATCTTCAATTTTTTTAATACTTTTCTAAAAGTCTGCCTGAAACACACAAATTTCACAGTAGTTAAAGGGAAGCATTTGCCTAGAAATCTCCCTTTCCCCAGGCATTTCTCAATATCAGCAGCAGGCCTTTCTGCATTTAGCAGCAAAAGGCACTGCTGAGATTAATCAATGTGCATGTGTGTGTGTGTGTGCATGTGTGTTTTAAAATTTTGAATCTGTAAAGGATAGGAAAATACTTCAAAACATCACAAAAAGTACTTAATCTTGAGAGGAAACATCCAGTTGTGCTTTCTGATGATCCATTAGTATGAAGTATATCACAGTTAAGAATCACCTCAGAAACTTCTAATGTGTATTTCATATAGAAATTGAATCTATTTCCCTGTCGGGGTTACTGTTAATGGACTGTCATAATTTTCTCCTTAACAACAGGGATACTCCATGGAAATGAATGGAACATAATCATGCATGTAGTCGGACCAAGTACACAATTTTTTTCTATGAATGGATTTTCTTGTTATCTCAGCATGCACAGCATGGAAGTGTATGTTATTTTTAGCCCCATGCATTTGGGATATTAACAGTAATGAATTTAAATTATTTAAGTAAAATTATTTTATTTTTGGTTACCAACTTCTGAAAATACATCATGACATCATTCATTAGAAATATTTTGTTTTCCAATGATGTTTGCATAGGTGTCTCTTTTTCATAAATAAGTGATAATGAAATGGAAATGTGTTTAGTTGAGAATTGAGAATCCTGTTATGTATTATTATTCTCACTTTAGAGATGACAGTAATAATAGTAATAATAACCAAATTGTTAAAGACAAGTGACACTAACATTTAATAAGCCACATTATGCTTCAAGATACACATGCAAAAAGTTATGGATATAAGTAGTTGTATATGCTACATATGCCTATGTAACTAACTAACTATATTTAAAACACTGATATAATGTTGTCAAATAACTTAGTAGCTCACATTTTCTTCTTTAGTTAATACTTAATGACTCCGAAACATATCAATAACAGAAATACTACAATGGCTAACAAAAACATAACTAAAAATACAGTGACAATATCAAAAATAATAAGATATTGAGAGACATCAGAAGGGTGATATTTCTTAACACTAGATAATTTTGATCAAAGAACAAATAATTTCATTTTCAAAAGTAAACAATTAAACAAAAATTAATAATGCAAATTCTTCACTCCAAGAAACAATAGTAACTTCTCATTGCTTTATAGTCCAAAGAAAATTTTATTTATTTGAAATAGGCACAGATGCAGTGCTTATTTGGGAATATACAGAGAAAATAGGATTAAATCGTCTTGATAACTGCAATAGATAAATAACTTCAAAGATATCTAGAGAGTTCTTTCTCTGTCTACTAATCTAACCCTAATCCCAACTCTAATCTATACATTAGTGAAGAGTTTGGTACATCTAATGATCACAATGTGTACTGCTTGAGGGAAGAAAATGTAAGAATGTGTCATTATTTATTTGGCCCATGTTTACCTCTTTCATGTAATCTGCTACTACTTTCCTATTTGTTCATCAGGTTTCAGCCTCACTCTTTTTTGTTCTTTCCTTGAATGAACCAAACTTGCATCAAGATACCATTCTTAATAATATTAACAGTTTATTTTTCATTGAAAACAATGAAGGTCAGAAAGCAGTGTGATAATATATTCATAGTACTGAAGGAAAAAGACTGTCAATCAAGAATTCCATATCTAGTACAGCTGTCTTTCAAAAACCAAAGTTGAAATTAAGATATTTTCAAACAAAGAAAACAAAATTAATGGGATTATAATATTTAAAGATGTAATTTTTGTAACAATGACACAAACAATATGTGAGGGAATGGAGGTGTATAGGAACTACATTTTTGTGTACTACTGAAATTAAGTTAATATTAATCCAGACTTGATTGTTTTAAGATTGTAATTGTAACTGCCAGAACAACCACAAAGAAACTAACTTTATAAAATACATTGTATTAAATTCCCATTTCTGCTTTACTAAATTACCAATAACGTAGTGGCTTAAAACAATACAAATTTATTATTTTACATGAATGGAATACAGATGTCATTAATGGATTATATGAGGCTGAAATTACAGTGTTAGCAAGACTGCATTCTTTCTGGAGGATCTAGAGGAGAATCTATTCTTTGCCATTTCCAGCTTCTAAAGGCTTCCCACATTCCTTGGGTAATGGCTCCCTTCTATCTTTAAAGTCAGAAATTACATAACTCATCTACTTCCTGTCTATAAGAATCCTTGTGATTATATTGGACTTATCAAGATAATTGAAGATAATCTTGTCATTTCAAGATTTTAAATTTAATCATACCTGCAAACCCCTTTTTCCATATTGTAACATATTCATAGGTTCCAAGACCAGGACATGTACACCTTTCAGGGGACATTATATTGCCTACTACACACAGTATAAGAAATTGCAGGGCAATTAAAATGGTACACTGTAAACTGTCTATTTAACACAAAAGTAAACAATAATTGAAAAATAGAGGGTTGGGTAAAGACATAGGCATATAGAAAATAAATACCAAAGTGGCAGACATAAATCCTACTTTATCAATAAATACGTTAAAAGCAGATGGATTAAAAACTCAAAATAAAACCTGGAGTTTTGCAGAATGAATAAAAATAACATGAGCAACTGTATACTGTCTACTAGAGATGTATTTTAGATTCAAAAACACACATAGGCTGACAGTAAAAGAATGGAAAAAGGTATACCATGCAAATGGTAACCAAAAGAGAGCTGAAGTGGCTAAGGTAATAACAGATAAAATAGACTTTAAGACAAAGAAGTGTTACTAGATACAAAAAAAGGACATTTTATAATGATAGAAATTTAATCTGTCAAGAATGGGGAGATGTCAGTCAAAGGATACAAACTTTCATTTATATGATGAGTAAGTTCATAGTAAGTACAATTAATAGTACTGTATTTACTAAGAGAGTAGATCTTAAGTATTTTTACCAAACACACCCTCACAAAGTGGTAACTATGTGAGATATGGATGTGTTAATTAATTTGATTGTGGTAATTATTTCACAATTTATACATATATCAAACCATCATGTTTTACATTTTAAATATATACAATATTTATTTGTCAATTGTACTGCAATAAAACTGGGAAAAAGGAATATATATGACAATTATAAAAATACACATTATCTATTGTATAGGAAAGTAAATCATAAACAAAAGGAAAAGACAACTTACAAACTGGGAGAAAATATTTGCAAACGATGCTACAGACAAGGGATTAATTTCATGAAATTAACAACCAGCTTATACAACTCAATATCAAAAACATCCCAAACAATTCAATAAAGACTGGAAAGATGCTCAAATTCAATCATCATTAGGAAAATGCAAATAAAAACCCCAATGACATATCACTTCACATCCACAGGATGCCTATTATTTAAAAAAGAAAGCAGCAAGTGTTGTCAAGGATATGGAGGCGCGTCCAGGCAACGCGCCCGGAAGCGGCTCGGGCGGCGCGCGGCGGCTCGCGCCCCGCTGGAGCCACGAACCCGGCCGGGCCGCGCGCCGGGCCAGGCGGCAGGCGCGCGCTGATTGGACGGCGCTCCCCACGGCGCGGGCCCGCAGCCGGGCTCCCCGCACAGCCCGAGCCAGCGGCCGCCGCACCCAACCGCGTCGGCATGGACAAGGGCAGCCGCGGCGCGCCCACCCCCCGCGCCGATGTGAATTATTAAAAAGAAAATGGCCCAACGGAGCACTGTATTTCCTTCTCTTGTCACTGAGGAAAGGTGTAATATATGGAAAATATGCATCTAAGGCGAGTTCGGACTATGCCCCGACACAGCCAGTCCCTGACCATAGCACCCTACTCGTCCGTGAGCCTAGTGGAGCAACTGGAGGATCGGATCCTCTGCCACGAGAAAACCACGGCCGCCCTTGTGGAGCACGCCTTCCGGATTAAAGACGACATTGTCAGCAGCTTGCAGAAAATGCAGAACAAAGGGGGAGGCGACCGCTTGGCCAGGCTTTTCTTGGAGGAGCACATCAGGAACATAACCGCCATCGTGAAGCAGCTTAATCGGGATATCGAGGTCCTTCAGGAGCAGATCCGTGCCCGGGACAACATTAGCTACGGAACGAATTCTGCCTTAAAGACCCTGGAGATGCGTCAGCTCTCTGGTCTGGGAGATCTTCGGGGAAGAGTGGCCAGGTGTGACGCCAGCATTGCGCGGCTCTCTGCGGAGCACAAAAGCACGTGCGAGGGCCTCCAGCACTTGAACAAAGAGCAGCAAGCCGCCAAGCTTCTCCTGGAAACGAAGATCAAGGACGCAGAGGGACAGATTTCTCAGCTTTTGAACAGAGTGGACTTGTCAATATCAGAGCAAAGCACCAAACTGAAGATGTCCCACAGAGACACTAACCACCAGCTTCAGCTCTTGGACACTAAATTTAAAGGTACAGTTGAGGAACTCAGTAATCAGATTTTATCTGCACGAAATTGGTTGCAACAGGAACAAGAACGGAGAGAAAAAGAACTTTTACAGAAAATCGATCAGCTTTCCTTGGTTGTTAAGGAAAACTGTGGAGCCAGCGAAAGGGACATGGAGAAGAAGCTCAGCCAGATGTCAGCCAGACTGGACAAAATAGAAGAGAGTCAAAAGAAGAACGTGGAGGGGCAGAGGGCAAAGCAGGAAGAAGACAAGGTGCACGGGCGCATCAGCAAGCTGGAGCTACAGCTGAACGAGGACATGAAGGAGATGAAAGCGGAGGTTGACGCGGGGTTTACAGCCATCTATGAAAGCATAGGATCCCTCAGGCAAGTTCTCGAAGCTAAGATGAAGCTGGACAAGGACCAGTTACAGAAGCAAATCCAACAGATGCAGAAGCCGGAAGCTCCCATGTGAAGGGACCTGGGACACGGACCTCAAAAGTGGTTGTGCCCGTGGGGCTGGAGCTGGATACCTCCTGTAGCCAGGCTGTCGCTGCATTCAGGATTGTTCCGTTCATGGCGTGCATGTGCCAAGAAATGTGTTTTCGTGAGTCTCAATGTTTACCTTGAGTCTTGAAAACACTCTTTAAAAGTATTAAGTACAGTTTTTACCACTTTATTCCACTTATCTAAATTCAATGGAATATCTTCCTTGCCCTGGGTTTTGAAAGGCTTTTGTCCCCTTCATTTTATGAATGAAAAGACTTGAAACAATTTTCCTTCAGTGCTTGATGCTCTAAGACTTTACTATTTTGAAAAATGTCATGGTGATTTTTTTACATTAAGAAACTAATGAGTTGTCACAGGGGCGTGTCGCTCCTCACCCTAAATTAAGAGAATGCCCTGATAGACTAGAATTCAACCTTTGAGTTGAGTCCATAGTTGGATTTTATTATTGTTGTCTGTGCATTTCTTATATTGGTTATCTTCTTGTAAATCTGTCTTTTGTAGGGGGATGGGATTTAACATTTAGGGGGAAAAAAACCCCACCGTGTGTGCAGTGAAAATAGTTTAAAAGTTGATAACTGCCATGTAGATTACAAATTAAAATGGAAACTTAATACAGTTATCTAAATCACACAAGGCACAATATCTACATCGACCACCTAGCTGTAACAGGTTTTAATATGAACAACTTTTTTCAATTATCCACAGCCTGTACAGTGACAGCCATATATTCAGTAATGGAATTGTGGTTAATAGCCTGTTTATTACACTTTCAATTCATCATAATAGGATGTGAGAATTTTTCAGGCTTTCGGAGCTCCTCTCTAAATTTTTCCAAAATTGCTACAAAGTGCTAAGATTTATATACACTTATTATGACTGTATCCTTGTGCCTTGGTTTTACCAGTCAGTGCACTGTACCCTGTAAAAGGTTTACAGACAAAATAGAAGGCATGATGACACATCAGAATTATGATGTAAAAATCGGACCCTATGTATTTTTTAAATGTTCTAAGACTTTTATCACAGTTAAGGCATTAACCATTCACTATTATTAACGGAATAGAAATTCATACTTTTGTATTGGCCATGGACTCAGACTGATAACTGCATTTATAATAACGTCAAGAAACTGTCATTTTGAGCAAAAAAAAAAAAGGATATGGAGAAATTGAAATCCTTGTGCATTGCTGGTGGGAATGTAAAATGGTGTAGACATTATGGAAAATAGTATGATGGCTCCTCAAAAAATTAAAAATAGCATTACCATTTGATACAGCAATTCCAATTCTGGGTACATACCCCAAAATATTGAAGTAAGGACAGTTGAACATCTGTACACTCATATTCACAGCAGCCACAACAGCCTAAATGTGGAAGCAACCCAAGTGTCCACTGATGTATGAATGCGTAAACAAATTGTGATATATACATACTATGGACTATTATTAAGCCTTAAAAGGGATGAAATTCTGACATATGCTACAACATGTATGAACCTTGAAGACCTCATGTTCAGTGTAATAAGCCAGTCACAAAAAACCAAATATTGTATAATTCCACTTATATAAGTTACCTAAAATAATAGTGACAGAAAATAGAATGGTGTTCTTCAGGGCTTTGGAGGAGGGAGCAATGGGAAGTTATTGTTTAACAGGTAGAATTTCAGTATTGGAAAATGTTGGTGGAGACGGTGGTAATGGCTGCACAACAATGTGAATGTATTTAACGCTAGTGAACAGCCCACCTAAAATACTGAAAATGATACATTTGTTATGCATCTCTTACCATAATATCTAATTAAAAAATACTATGTAAGTAATGTAACCAGTTAGTTACCAGATTAATGTGTCTTTCTTGACACTAAACACCTAAAAGACCAAAATCAAAAAAAGAAGCAATTTTGATTTCTCTCCTTTTTTTCCCCACAGAACAACAGTATAGTCATAAGGTCTGTTTTTCCTGTGCATTTGTAAAACTTGATCAAACCTGGGAAACAGGTAGTAAAAATAGTCTCTGTTTTCTTTCTTTTTTTTCTTCCTAAGGGTGACCATAGTATGAGCATAAAATGCCCTTGGCCATGGCCCCTAATTCTATTGTGATTCCACAAGATCAAAAACATCAGTATACCCAATCCCCTCCCCCACCAGACTGATTAAGCTCAAAATTTTCACCAATATAGTCTCTGAAGATCAACTTGCTTACTTAGATTAATGTGACTGTATTATTAACAGAAGTAACACTGGTGTGGCTATGACTTCAACACAATGGGGTGGAAAGTGGGGACTGCAAGCAATGGATGGGAATAATTCCACTCATCTTGTATTACATTATATTCTATTTTAATTTACACTTGAAGTTTTACAGAATTTTGAAGGCAAATAAAAATCACATTACTGTACACATAAAGACAAAGTATTAAAATCCTCATCCCTCACTGAAATGAAGAGGAATTCAATCTGGTTAAGAGAAAACCGGTAGAGAGAAAAAGAAACAAAGGAGTTCCATTCTGGCTCCAGAATGTCCCTGAGGATCAACCTCTATCTATCTATCTATCTATCTATCTATCTATCTATCTATCTATCTATCCGTCTGTCTATCTATCTGTCTAGCTATCATCTATCATCTATCTACCTATCATCTAGTGACTCCTCTCTACATCAATCATCTATTCTCTTACTGCCTCAGCTAATTCTATCTCCTTCACAAGATGTCACCTGCCTCCAGAGCATTCACCCTCTTAAGCCCCTCAGCTGTCATTAACCACCCTGGCTGCCACATTAAGGTCTTACCCTCTTAAGAATCACTACCTGGGAGGTGGAAGTTAGAGAAGTCTCTATATCTAAAAGCTTAATGAAATAATATATATGAAGTATTTAGAATAGTGCTTGGAACATAGGAAGAGCTCACTAGATAATAGCTATTACATAAAACATAAAATACAAATAATAGTTCTTCCAATTACCATAATCTTCATTAATTAGGTCACAGGTGATTTCAACCAACTCAACAATGACAGGTTGGAAATACATAGCCAATAATTGATGTGACATTTTATGAATAGTGAAAATTAGTTAAAGAAGTGAAATATCTGTGGTCTTTGATGAATAATAAATGGTAATGTCATATTCATCAGACACATATACATACAACCAACCAGGCACTCATCTATGAGAAATGTGAAGGAGCAAAATTTTGAATCAGGTTATGCAAACACACAAAAGCAAATAACTTGAGAAGATTGCAATTTTCTTTATAATCCTTAAAAGCCTGAGAGTTGCCTAGGCTTTAACTAGATTGATGACATTTTATAAATCCCAGTAAAATATCATCAGATGGAATGGACCAAATTCTTCCACTGTAATATGTTCGTCACTGGTTGCAAATTAGGCTTCTTTGAAATCTTAATGAATTCTCAGGCTACTATTTTGATGAGAAATACCACAAAGCTCCTATAAAGGAAATACTTCTTTCAATCATTATATTCACTGGGGAATATTCTATGTGAATACACATTTAAGTGTTGTATTTTCATTCATTGTCACAACTTGTGTGTGATAACTACTACTTACAAGTAACTCTTACTGAGTTCTCTTTATTTCAATCATTATTGGGAAATTATTCAAGGCAAACTTAAATATACAAGAGTCATGAAGTAACTATCAATCCAAGTAGAAATATAGGCATGGGGTTCTTTTCATATACAAAGTAAAATAAAAAAAGTATTCTTTTTAGTAAAAGGTGAAGTTGGTTCAGAAGTATTTTAATGCATCTTTCGTCAGGTGTCACATTAGCAAAGCCAAAGAGAAAATACCAACTATTTTCTGATATCTGGTGTTTGGTTGGATTCTGTTCCATCCTGGGACCAAACAAAAGGCAGAGACAACATTATGTGGTCCAATCCAAGTTTCCCTGAGCTGTGGGATGCATTAAATGAATGTTTAGTGTAGCTCAGTTTTGTGCTAAATACAGATCATGGAAAGGTGACTAAAACCTTGCCCCTGCCCTCAGAAACTCACATGCCACACAGTCTTCTGTTACATGTCATCCAAAAGAATATTCTCTCCAATAAACTTCAAAGTACAATAGGTATAAAATGGGATTTTTGATCTATTTCAGTCAAAAATGTCGAAATAAAAAACAAGCTGATTCATGTCTTTCTTGGTAACATTATTCCATGTAGATACTATTTCTAATTAGAATGAAGTGTGTCAATTTCTTGATATAAAATTGTTGCAATGTTTGCATTCTGACATATGAATGTAGACCATCATAATGTTTTTAAAATATGGCTTTGTTAACTAATTTTTTTAATGTTCTGTATCACCTTCTTAAAATAGCCTGTTTCTAATACCATAAAGAAAAAGTATTTTATGAAAGTATTTTTATAATATTCATCAAAATTACCACATGCAAAGCATTTTTAAAAGACATTGTGGGAGTCAGAGTGAAGTAGTGGAGTTAAGAAATATGCCTAAATAATTACAACATAATATAGAAACAAATAAGTGCCAAAAGAAAGTAAAAACTCTTGAGGAAATTTTGGAGATGGCAGGTCACTATAAACTTTTCACTTATTGACTTATTAAAGCACCTCAAAGTTATGTTGAAGGAAATTCACATGCATATAAAGTCAAAGTGTTATTCAATAAATAAATAACTAGTGTAAATGTCAAGAGCTCATCATATTAATGCATCTATTCATTAACTTATTACTTCATTAACATTCATTAACCTTAACCATCTGCTTTCCACCAAGTATTCTGCTAAATATTGGATCATAGTGAAAGGAAGAATATGGTGTGAAAAATCAGATCATATAACAGTAAATGCAGGAGGAGGAGGAGGAGTAATGCTTTGTCATTCACAAGAACTTCATTTCAAGAAGACCTCAGAGAGAACTACCCATTAGCCTGAGGCTGGGAAGAACCACAGCCACAAACATCAAAATACATGTTTGCTTTTATATATGAGTATAACAACCTTAGACCTCCCACTGAAATAGACATGTGGTCAGCAGGAGTGCCCCCTGACACTCAAGATGAGACTTCATGCTCCTTAGGTAGGGAATTTTGCAAGAGTCCTGGTGAGATTCAGTGAGAGAGTGTCAGTTGAACCTACTTGCAGTAAGGAAACCAATATCAACACAGTTATTTGAAGAGATCCAGTGTCATATCCAAAAAAATTTGTTGCCAAGACCAATGTCAAGTAAATTTTTTTCCCCTATGTTTTCTTCTAGGAGTTTTATGGTTTCAGTTTGTATGTTTATGTCTTTAATCATTTTGGTGAGTGGTGTTAAGATAAAGATGCAATTTGATTCTTCTGTATGTGGTTATCTAGTTTTCCCAGCACTAC